AAGTTTAAGCTGTTTTATTTCTGAAAATATTAATTTTGAAACATGAGATTTTACTTCATCTACAAATAAAATCCTACAAATCCATCAGACTGCAACAAACAGGATTAGTTATCTTTAGGCTTCAGTTATCCCGGATAACTGAAGCCTAAATGTGAATTGTCTGCATGTGTTGTTTCTAAATGTTAAACATATTTTAAATCCACTGGGATCCACTTTGAAGAATCCGTTTGTCAAAATGAACGACCGTTGCCCAAAATAAATCTCCGGACAGATTCCTCACATTTCAGCAGGCGGCACATGAAGCCTTCAGCTGTCGGCGGACTCACCGTGCCGTCAGAGCAGTTGGAGTGGGTGCTGGAGGAGTCCGACTCCCCGCTGTAGTGTTCCAGAGGCGGGTAGAAGCTGTCGCTCTGGCCGGCCCTCAGCAGCGCCTGCAGAGACTCGATGTAGCTGATGGCGTTCCGCAGGATCTCCACCTTGGGGAGTCGCTGGTTGGGATTGGAGGCCGTGCACCGTTTCAAAGTCTCAAAAGCATCGTTGACCTTACTGAGCCGTCGCCTCTCGCGCATCGTTGCTGCTTTCCTCCGGTCCGCGTGGGTCGTCTTCCTCTTGCAGGCCTTGCAGGCCCATAGCAGGCAGTGGCCCGCCTGGTGGAGGCCCCCGGGGGCCCTCACGTGCTGGTCCTCCTCCTCTGCTGTGGGGACATGATGGTTCAGATGGTCCTCTGACTTCAGCAGGCTGCCGTGTGTCAGCCGGGCATCCAAGTCGTCAAAAAAGTTCARGTCGCTGGTGCTGAAGCAGGGGTCATAGAGGTCATCAGCTGACGAGAGCGGGAAGGGAAAATCAGACAAATCCATCAGAGTGATGAGGACAGAACTCACTCAAAGAAGGGTTTTATTTTAAAAAAAATACTTTGAGGTCAAAAACCTCAAAATAAAATCTCCTCAAAATATCTTCCACCTTTTAAACTAACATGACACCCGAGTCTGAAACTCATCTGAGCTGACAGAAACTGAATGAGTGTTTAAAGGGGCAGTATGTGTAACTTCAGCCTTTTGGCTTGGTCTCTCTTTTTAAAGCAGCTAGTACGGAGGCGGGGTCATAATATAAGTGACCAATAGTGTGCATGTGTGTGTATGTGTGTGTGTGTGTGTGTGTGTGTAAGCTGTGCGTGTAATGCGTGATCGCAGGGGGTGACACTCAAAGAGGAAGCAATGAAAATGCTAAAGACTAGTTCTGCACGAATCCTTCAGGCTGCTGTTCTCCATACAGAAGAAGCAGCATGTGGTCATGCTAAACAAACAAACAAAAAAATGAATGTAACCAGAAGATTTCTGAAGAAATGTTAAAAGCTTTGTTACGACTGTCCAAGATTTCAAACCAAACTTTGCATAAAACAAACTAAAAACAATTAGCAGACAGTTTGATGTGTAAAAATATGATCAAAAGACATATCAAACTGCTGCCAGCAGCTCTTTGTGGTTACCATGGTAACTACACACCTGTGTCCTTCACTCCCTGACATCCAGGTTAATGAAAGGCAGACAGAAGCTCAAAGCTTCAGCTTCAAGCTCAAAAATAACTGAAGTCAGTGAAAGTTTGAACACTACTTTCCAACTTTGATTGTGAAGTACTTTAAAATGGCCACAGCTGCAACAAACTGATGTGTGTGTCAAAAAAATTAAACATACAAAACAAAGAATGCAAAGAATTCCAACAATAAAATCATTAAAACAGGAGATAAATCTAAAAAAAATCACAAAAAAGAAACTCCATCCATCCATCCATCCATCCATCCATCCATCCATCCATTCAACCATACATCCATCCATCCATCCATACATACATACATACATCCATGCGTCTATACATCCATCCATTCATCCATCCAACCATTCATTCATTCATACATACATACATACATACATACATCAAACCACCCATCCATCTATTCATCCAACTATTCATCCACCCATCCATCCATCCATCCATCCATACAACCATCCATCCATCCATCTATTCATCCAACCTTTCATACATACAACCATTCATTCATTCATTCATTCATTCATTCATTCATTCATTCATTCATTCATTCATTCATTCATTCATTCTTCCATCCATCCTTACAACCATTCATTCATTCATTCATTCATTCATTCATTCATTCATTCATTCATTCATTCTTCCATCCATCCTTACAACCATTCATTCATCCATCCATACATCTATCCATCCATCCATTCATTCATCCAACCATCCATTCATCCATCCATTCATTCATTCTTCCATCCATCCATCCATCCATTCATTCATCCATCCATACATTCATCCATCCAACCATTCATACATACATACATACATACATACATCAAACCACCCATCCATCTATTCATCCAACTATTCATCCACCCATCCATCCATCCATCCATCCATTCATGCACGGTGGCTCAGACCTCTCTTTCCAGGGCCCACCTCTTCCAGCTCTTCCAGGAGAGAAACATCATCTGTCCAGCATGTCCTGGGTCTCCTCCCAGTCATACAGAGGCAGTACCCACAGTTCATGACAAGAGATTAGGGTAGGAACGTAGACCAACCAGTAAACAGAGAAATTTGTCTTACAGCTTAGCTCCCTCTTCACCACAACAGACAGGTACAGAGTCTGCAATACTGTGGAAGCTACACCAACCCATATGTCTGTCTCACACTCTATTCTTCCCGAAATTATGAACAAAACTTYTCTGCTTGAGATAGAACCTCATCTCCAACCCGAAGATGGCAATTTACCCTTTTCCAACCAAGGACCATGGATTCAGATTAGGAAGTGCTGTTCCTCATCAATGTAAAATTTAGTTTTAAATTAATCAAATACAGCATCTGATGTCAAATTGAGCAGCATCAAAGACACCATCACAAAACTGTGCTAATAAAGGTTTTGTGTTTAAGAAAACATTTTGTTTTTATATAAAGAAATATTTATTAGTTTGCAAGACAAAAAGACACAAGCACATAGTTTTCAGCTATTTTAACATTTAACGTTTGATCTTCAAAATCCRTCCATCATCTATACCCGCTTCTTTCTTTCAGGGTCATGGGGGTCACTGGTGCCCACCTTCAGCAGTCACTGTGCAAGGGGCGAGGTACACCCTGGATAGGTCACAAGGATCCACCTGTTGTCCAAAATAAAATCAGTATCATTAGATGTTTGGCATTTTTGAAACAAATGGTTTTACCCCAGATTTACCTTCACTAAGGAGGTTATGTTTTCAGTAGCTTTGGTTTGTCTGTCCGTCCATCGGTGAACAAGATTACTGAAAATCTGTGAACATATATTTATGAAATGCTCACGGCATGTCGGGGTTTTCACAAAGAACAAATGATTACATTTTGATGGTGATCTGCAGAGCTTCAGCTCAGTGATGATGGCATATTGTGACAACCAATCAGCATTCAGCAGGATTTTGTTCCACCAATCACAGCTCAACAGCTGCATACTCTCATTTATATGACCTAGGGTTTTGGTTGACAACAGACTCTCCAAGTGCTTCTAGTTATTTATCAATTTTTAAACACTTGTGGCTCCCCTTTGCTTAGATCCTTTCTTGGGGTAAGGGTGGTTGAACAGTCTTTTCAGTACCCTGTGTGTTTTGGTTATTGTAGAAAGCAACTTCTGTCTGTCAGTATGTTAGAAACAGTGACATCTGTCCCCACAAACTGCAAAAAGTAACTGAAGTTCCTCCCACTGACTCAAATCTAAATACGTGTAACTGTCACCAGATATGATTGCTGGCATGAAGGATTTTCTCTTTGCATGTAACCCGGTGATACACTGGTAACCTGCCATGGTGGACCTCACCCTTTGCCCAATGACCCCTGGAGACAGACACCAGCTCCCATGACCGTGCAGGGAAAAGTGAGTAAACAAATGGACAGACGACCCCAACTTAAAAACGCTTTAGAAAAAATAAAAACTCAAAAACCAGAGTTTGGTTGTGTATTTTTGCCTACTAATCTCTGTACACAATTTTTTTTTACATTTGAAGAGGAAATACTAATAATGTTTGGCTTTTTGCTTTCATTCAGTTTGTATGACTCGTTTTRAAATGTAAATGAAATTTGAAGCAGCCATTTTTGCTGCAGTAAGGGAATGTTTCAGCACATTGCAACCTGCACGTCATTATGTTTCCAGGTTGCTGTCAGCTCACACACACACACACACACACACACACACACACACACACACACAC